CGGGACCTTGGGCCTCTCACTGGATCGCTGCCATGGAGCAGGAGATGGCATCTTGGAGATCCACCGGCACCTTCGTCGACGCAGTTCCCCCGCCTGGGGTGAACGTAGTCGATGGCCGCTGGCTCTTCAAGGTGAAGCGCCCTCCTGGAGAGCCGCCTGTGTTCAAGGCGCGCTACATGGCTAGAGGCTTCAGTCAGCATGAGGGGGTGGACTTCTTCCAGACCTTCGCTCCGACCCCGAAGATGACTACTCTTCGGGTTCTGTTACACCTAGCTGCCCAGCGTGACTACGAGCTTCACTCCCTCGACTTCTCCACTGCCTTCCTTCAGGGCAGCCTACACGAGCAGGTCTACTTGATCGCCCTCAAGGCTTTACTGGCACCTTCCCACCTGGGACCCAGTGGCTCCTGCGGCGCCCAAGCTACGGCCTGCGCCAGGCTCCCCGTGAGTGGCACGACACTCTCCGTGCTACGCTTGCTGACCTGCAGTTCTTTCCGTCTTCCGCAGACCCCTCACTCTTCGTTCGTGCTGGCCAGACTCCGTTCTACATCCTTGTTTACGTCGACGACCTGGTCTTTGCCACAGCGGACAGGGACGCACTGGCCTCCGTGAAGGCAGAGCTGCTGAAGCGACACACATGCACTGACCTTGGAGAATTGCGCCGTTACCTTGGCTTGCAGATCTCCAGGGACAGAGCAGAGTGCACCATCACCCTGACTCAGTCACACTTGGTGCGCCAGGTCCTTCAGAGGTTCAGCCTTCAGTTCTCCTCTGCACAGCCCACCCCTCTGCTTATAGACCACAGACTCTCCGCTCCAGTGTCTGAGGAGTCGGTAGAGCCCAGCGGCCCCTACGCAGAGCTGGTGGGTTGCCTCATGTACCTGATGACTTGCGCAGGAGAGCGAGGAATGCGCAGCGGAAGTGATAGAAAACGGTCCGGCTAAAGGAACCGGCTCCGCTCTTGCACACATGTTCCAGTCCAGTTACGGTACTGTAGATTAGCCCTCCTGCTTCCCCCCACCTTCCCCTGCCCCATTGCCCATCATCTCCTCATGCCTTATCCATAACTCCTCATGCATCTCCTCTCTACAGCCTACTTGCAATGCCCCTGCTGCCACAGCAGCAGAAGCACACGACCCTGGGGCTCCCATGTTAGAAGACTAACTTAGCCAGGCTCTCCCATGAAATGGCGAGAGGTTTAGGAGCTAGGAGCTAAGAGAGAAGGTTGACGAGAGGAAAAAGTGAGAGACTACGGAGAGAGAGGCATACAAGGAGGGAGTTGTACCCTCTACAGTAGAGTTAGGTAACCTACCAAGCCTACCAATTATATAACACAATATATAATTTAACTTCCCATACCTGGACTCCCCAAGCCTGCCCTACCAAACCTGCCATTGCAACAGGGTCCATGTGCTGAGACCGTCGCTGCTGCTGCTGCTGTTGAGCAGGGGTGACTTTATCAAACTATTTACTCTGATTAGTCTGAAATCTCATACCGGTGTAATGTGCAAACCTGAATTTCCATACAACCCATTTTCCCAGTCCTGATTGATTCAGAGTAAGGTTTTGGGGATCCTGAACAATTCAGACCTGACGCTAAGCTAGTAGTGAGGTTCCAGAGTGCAGCGCGTACGGACCCTGAACCGACTTCCCTGGGGTCCGCAGGTTCCCCCGAAATTTCGCCCGCCATCAGTGCTTCCCGTCCGCGTCACGTGCAGAATCCACACTCAGCAGGAAATCCCGCCAAGTCCAACGTGTACTCTGCCCACAGTGGGCACTTTCCCACGCAGCGCGGCATAATGCTGCCACGCCAAACCTGTAAGGACTGCAGATTCTGCTCTGACGCTCTCTGTGCATGCGTGAAACTCGGGCCCCAAACCCTATCTGCCAGCCTTCCTGAGGTTGGGCAACTACCCGATTGGCTGCAAATACAGCCAACACATCGATGGCTGCATGGTGTTGGGTTGTGCAAGGACAGGCCCGAAGACCGCGTAGCGCCTTTCAAGAAAGATGCGACACGGGTTTGATGTCTCCCTTCTTCTCCTATCGTTCCTTACTCATCCGTCTGAAACACACTGCTTCATGTTTTATAGGAGGAGTCCTTTCATCTCCTCATTCTCTGTCTCACACGCATAGCTATAGTCGCATCATTTAGTTTCCCCCCGTTGTTTCACCTCTCGCCATGCCTAACATAGGTGGCCTCGACGATGCTCCTCCTGATGGTGATGAGCCGTATAGTCGAAAGGAGCCTGCCGTAGCACCTAGGAGAGGCTTGGATTTCTTGCGGCCCATCGCCGCACCTGTTCCCCCCCCATCGGCCGCCCCAGCCGCAGTCGACGAACCACCGCGCGTCGAGCCACCGTTGCCATGTAGTCATGCCTCCGCTCCCTACGTTCTCCCACCAGCTGTAGCATCTTCTAGCAGAGGGCTTGTAAAAGATCCTATCGACTGCGCCACCGCATCAACCATTCCGAACAGCGTTCCGTGCGCGTCTACCATGTCTTTGGCGAAGAAACAACGCACGACAAAGTACACGCAACAGCGGATTAACCTTGGTGGCCAGATTCGTCCCCCTTCACCACCGCGCTCACCTCCCCCTATCACCCGCCCTGATGAACCACCGCCACCGAAGTTAAGTACAAAGGAGATTATCGAGCAGAAGCACCTGATCACTGAAGCTCTGTACAAGAATGATTGGCTTCGCTACTTCCCGTGGCTAATACTTACCCGTACTAAGGATGGGTACCCCGCCCTTAAGTGCAGTGTTTGCCGAGCTCTCGGCAAGGAGACGACAAAGTACTCGAGCCCAGGCGAAGGCGAGCAAGATCTCCAGACCCAGACGATGTGTATCCACGAACACTCTACGGTCCATGAAGACGCGGTTCACCGACAGTTGGAGATACAACAAGACATCGATGACAAGCAGCAGAAGATAACGAGTTTTGCCACCGAAGATGTCGAGGGTCGTCGCGTCATCCGTCTCTTGTGGTGCGTCGAATTTCTTTGCAAGAGCGATGCTCCTATCGCCATGTTTCCACGACTGCTCCGTTTCATGGCAGAGCAAGACATGCCTGACATTCCTCTATAGTCATACGGAGTGTATCTGACCAGGTGAGGTTACGATGTTATCGCTCAGCGTCTGTTGAATTTCTGTTGTTTCCCATATGTTGACGTATTCTAACGAGTGACTGTCCGTCATCATGCCTCTGCAGGTACAGGTTCCAGCAGATGGTCAACTGTTCTGTCAATACATCTGCTGGCAACTCAGATGGAGCACATTAAGAGCTCACCCTACCTCGGCATCCCATGCGATGAGAGCACCGACCGCATGTGAGGGAAGCACTTGATTGTCTACATCGCCTTCATGCGTCTGCGTCGAGTCGTTACGGAATTCCTCGCTCTGCTAACCGTGGACAAGTGCGATGCAGCTTCTCTAATGTCCATTCTCCTAATGCACCTGGAGTCGTCCGGCATCGATTTTCAACGCATTGTCGGCATCAGCACTGACGGAGCGTCAGTGATGGTTGATCGTGACAAGGGCCTTATTGCGCGCCTGCGTGACATCATCCCACACCTCGTTTCTTCCCACTGCATCGCCCACATTTTTGTGGTACTATTGTGAACAGCTTCTTTCTCGGGATTTGTGTCCGTGCGCTAACCAACGTCCTTGTGTATACAGTACCTGCAGGGAAGCCCTAGCTGTGAAGGATGCTGCCGCCTCATGTCCATAACTCAACATGGTTGATAAGGTTACTAGCACCCTTGCGGACCTTCTCGGCCGGTCGAGCGTCTGGAGCAGACGCTTCAAGTACCTCCAGCGCGCGATTCACAGCACGAACTTGGAGGTGCAAGGCATCCATCAAGTTCGATGGTTGTCTAGGGGTGAGGCCATCCGACGCCTGTGGAAGGTGTTGGGTGCTGCGATTGTGCTGCTGTATGAGTATGAGCATCCCCTGTATGAAGTTGTGACCTCGTATAAGTTTTAATTCAGCCTCTTCTACCTGGCAGACATGCTCGCAGTCATGAACGACCTCAACCTCAAGTTCCAGAAACATGAGGTGAGCTGTTAAAGGCTGCGATGGTGGTGTTCTCCTCCTCTATTTGTCATAATATCTCCTTTGGTTCTCTGTCACCCACCCCAAACCCCAGGTCGACGTGACCGAGGTATCAACGGACATCGACTAGATGTTCGGGGATCTGCGACACCGTTATGTCGAGTGTGGGGAGGTTTTCAGTGCCGGCACCAAAAACACTTCGATGTCGGCATTCCTAACAGTGTACGGGCACGGGGGGTCGAAGCGTGCGAAGGTGCACGGCGTCGACAAGGAGGGGAACCCGGTCACCCACACGTACAAGATGCACGAGCGGCATCTCGACAAGCACCAATACGGGAGCAGCTACTCGGACTGTACCCTGCTGTGCCAGAAACACGCGAAGGAGACCATGAGCAACGTACAACATCGTATGCACAATCTGAGGAAGATGTCGCCGACGAAGCTGTGGGTGGCGGCAAAGTGGCCGAGACAGCGTGCGCAATGCGATAAGAAAACCAGAGAGTACACAGAGTCAGTCAAGTCAAGTCAACTGCAATGATCCTGACAGGGAGAGGACACAGCCAGAACGTGCTTTCTTCTTATTCGCACCCCACCTCTGCTCCTCTCTCATCACCTCACCTCTTCCCTTCCCCGTCCATCCCTCCCCTTGCATCCCCCATGGCAGCATTGTGGCAGCAACAAGGGGTGGAGAAGGACCCAGCATCTGTCTCATGCCGCGACCCTGACAGGGAGAAGACACAGCCCCCGTGTGCCTTCTTCTGTGGTGGGGGGGTCCTTTCCCCTGAGTCCTTCAAGTGGTTACCAGCCGTGACGCTTGACACGCTGGAGAGAGTTGGACCTCCATAACATGTAACTTGCTTGGTGCCCATGGTTATGTTGCGTGATTTTATCGAGCTTGGGTACAAGCATACAAATTCTCGGAAAACAGAAGATGCCATCGTCACCAGTAACCCGTTCCAATAAGAATTCAAGCACAAATACTCTGCCTATATGCTCTGCAGGGCACCAAAGGACTACATTGGGTGAGGAGATTGGACGAAGCAGCACTCAGCAAACACTCGGCTGGAGGTGCTGCTGCGGCCAAGCTCCTACCAGCTCTGACGGAAATAGATACACGCCACAATCTGACACACATGAGGATGCTACTGTGGCCATGTGTATTCTCCTCGTCCCTTCAACGCCCCATGCCTCCTCCCATACCACCATCCATGCCTCCACCCATACTGCCATCCATGCCTCCACCCATACCACCATCCGTGCCTCCACCCATACTGCCATCCATGCCTCCGCCCATACCACCATCCGTGCCTCCACCCATACTGCCATCCATGCCTCCGCCCATACCACCATCCGTGCGTCCGCCCATGCCACCATCCATGCCTCCGCCGATGCCCCCCCCAGGACTCATGCCTGCTTCTGATCCAGGAGCAGATGACCCAATTCCGCCCATGGCCCCCCCAGGTCCGCCCATGGCCCCCCCAGGTCTGCCGATGGCCTCCCCAGGTCCGCCCATGCCCCCCACAGGGCCCATGGCTGCGTCTGACCCGGGAGCAGATGACCCAGGTCCGCCCATGCTGCCCCCATTTCCGCCCATGCTTCCCCCAGGTCCGCCCGTGCTGCCCCCAGGTCCGCCCATGCTCCCCCCAGGTCCGCCCATGCTTCCTCCAGGGCCGCCCATTCCCCCGCCGCTCATTCCGCCACCGATTCTGCCGCCCATCCCAGGTCCGCCCTGTCTGGGTGCTACCTGCGACTCTGGGGCAAACGATCCCGAGCCGCGCCCTCCCATTCCGCCACCCATGCCTCCCCCCATTCCTCCTCCGCCCATGCCCCCTCCGCCCATTCCTCCTCCGGCCATCCCGCCGCCACCCAAGCTCCCCCCAGGTCCACCCATTCCGCCACCCATCCCAGGTCCGCCCTGTCCGGGTGCAGCCTGTGACCCTGGAGCAAACGACCCCGAGCCGCGCCCTCCCATTCCGCCACCCATGCTTTCGCCCATACCTCCTGCGCCCATTTGACCTCCGCCCATTCCGCCGCCACCCATGCTCGCCCCAGGTCCGCCCATTCCGCCGCCCATCCCAGGTCCGCCCTGTCCGGGTGCTGCCTGCGACCCTGGAGCAAACGATCCCGAGCCGCGCCCTCCCATTCTGCCACCCATGCCTCCCCCCATACCTCCTGCACCCATTTGTCCTCCGCCCATTCCTCCTCCGCCCATATCTCCGCCTCCCATTCCTCCTCCGCCCATCCCGCCGCCGCCCATTCCGCCACCACCCATTCCGCCGCCGCCCATTCCACCGCCACCCATTCCGCCGCCGCCGCCCATTCCGCCACCGCCCATTCCGCCGCCGCCCATCCCGCCGCCGCTCATTCCGCCGACACCCATGCTCACCCCAGGTCCGCCGATTCCGCCGCCCATCCCAGGTCCGCCCTGTCTGGATGCTGCCTGCGACCCTGGAGCAAACGATCCCGAGCCGCGCCCTCCCATTCCGCCACCCATGCCTCCCCCCATACCTCCTGCGCCCATTTGTCCTCCGCCCATTCCTCCGCCTCCCATTCCGCCACCGACCATTCCGCCGCCGCCCATTCCTCCTCCGCCCATCCCGCCGCCGCCCATTCCGCCGCCACCCATTCCGCCGCCACCCATTCCACCGCCACCCATTCCGCCGCCGCCCATTCCGCCGCCGCCGCCCATCCCGCCGCCACTCATTCCGCTGCTTCCCATCCCGCCGCCGCTAATTCCGCCTCCGCCCATTCCGCTGCCTCCCGTTCCGCCGCCGCCCATTCCCCCGCCGATTCCGCCGCCGCTCATTTCGCCGCTGCCCATTCCACCGCCTCCCATTCCGCTGCCTCCCATTCCGCCGCCACCCATTCCCCCGCCACCCATCGCGCTTCCGCCCATTCCGCTGCCCTGCTGCTGGCCGTTCGATCGTCCGCCTCGCGCATTTCCACCCATCATTCCGCGCAGATTTTCCACGCGGAGTCCCGCGGGGAAGCGAAATGCGAAGGCGGCGTGGAGGGACGAGAGCAGGACGAGGGAGATGAGGAGAAGGCAGGTGCTCCGATCATAACCATCCTTAGTAGTCAGGATAGTACGGCGGCGATGCTGAATAAGCGAGAGAGAGAATCCCAGTGCCATGGCGGCTGGTGTTGCCGACGTTGCAGCGGGAATTTCCCAAGTTAGGAGGAGTCTAGTTGCCGCGAGAGGGTTCTAGTTCGTTGTCGCGTGTCAAGAATATGATATGATTCTGGTACCTTTCTGAAGTGTGAGTGGCGTTGTAAGGGAAATTGGTAATGTCGAAAGAACCTGCCGCTTTTTGTACCAACATCGCGACGCGAGCGGGACTCAAATCGCGAATGCATCACTCGGGTCGTGCGCTGACTCAGGCGTCAAGAAATTAACCAAGCAGCGGCAGCCACATGGGCAAAAGCAGACATTGAGTCAACGCAGAAAGGGAACGAGTCAACTCACCGAAGCTCGTTGACCATATCGTTTCAACCGATTTCTCACGTCACGAAACGAGAAGCTTGAATCCCCGGTTCAAGGTGCCCATTCCAAGACATCGTAAACGATACACAACAGTCGCTTTTCAAAGAGCTGGCACATCCTCGGATCTACAATGTTCCATCACAATAACGCTGTTATGATTTAGAAAATGTAAATGAACTATATCGTGAGAATACAAGGTCGCTATTGCAATGAAAGCACAAGGTTATATAGGAGTAGACGTAAAAGGGCGATAACCTCGGGGCGTAGGTAGGTTCGGCAATGTGGCGACGCTGTCGGACGCGACTCGAGAAAGGGTTGGGCCGAAAATGTAGGCCGAACGTGACGAGTCGAAGTGTTCGGGTGTACGCGGTAGTGGGCAACTCAGTAAGGAATGGAAATTCCTTACACTACCCCCCCATCCTAAACGAGTCCGTGGGCATCGGAGACGTTACGACGCCGATAATACGCCGTTAGAATCGGATGTGACTCTAGGTCAACGAGAGGCACCGAGCTGTCGTCTTCGGAAGTGCGATCGCGCCAGCGGACGAGGAAATCTACCATCCGACGGTTCAGCTGCGTTGTGACGCGATGGCCGAGGATTTTCAGGGGCTCGGTCGTCGGTTCCTGCAAAGGCGTTAGGTGCGGTACATCGCGGTTTCGTGCCAGGTCCGACGAACTCGGAATGTAGGGTCGGAGAAGACTGACGTGGAAAGCCGGGTGGTGGAGCCAATCAGCCGGTAGTCGAAGGTGAACAGTGACAGGTGTCACTAGGTTGGTCACGGGAAAAGGTCCGCAGAATCTGGGTCGGAGTTTGCTCGGGATCGGCAACCGCAGATTGCGGGTGTCGAGGAGAACTAGATCGGCTAGTCGGCTTGCAACCAGGTTGGCTTTTCGGATGGCTTCAGCTGCTTTTTCTCGAGCGGCGAGAATGTCTTCAGCAAATTTCCGGGACCGGGGCACGGGTGACTCGATTGTCAGGGTAGAGGGTACGACTGGGTCCTGTCCGTAGTTGAGGAAAAATGGAGATTGGTTGGTTGTGGCGGAGGTCGCGTTATTATACGCGAATTCCAACTGCGGAAGGGATTTCTCCCATGTCGATGGGTCAGTACAAGTAGTACGAATCAATTGCTCCATGGTCTGGTTGACGCGTTCGGTCTGCCCGTCGGCCTGTGGGTGGTAGGCGGATGAAAATTGGAGTTTGGTGCCGAATTGGTCCCACAGGTGGCGCCAGAAATTCGATGTGAATTTCGGGTCTCGGTCGGAAATGATGGCGGAGGGCAGTCCGTGCAGTCGGATGACATTCGTGAGGAACAGTTGCGCGGTCTGTTCGGCTGTGATTGTCTGTTGGCAGGCGATGAAGTGCGCCATTTTCGTGAGTCGGTCAACGACCACGAGGATGGCGTCGTTTCCGCTGGGACCGGCCGGTAGTCCTATTACGTAGTCCATCGTGACTTGTTGCCAGGGTCGCTCGGGCGGATCCAACGGATGTAGTAGTCCGGCTGCTCGCTGATGCGACGATTTCATGATCTGGCAGGCAGTGCAGGAGGACACGTACTTGCGCACATCATCGGCCATGTTCGGCCAGTAGTAATTCCGCTGCAACATCTTCGTGGTTTTATCGACGCCGAAATGTCCTGAGGTAGGGTTGTCGTGGGATTCCTGGATTAGGAGGGTACGAAGTAATTCGTAGCCTGGCACCCAAATGCGAGAAGTACCACGCTTATAAAAATATGGCCCGGTGGCTGTGGTATGCTGTTGATGGATGGCCGAGCGGAAAAAGGGATCTATCTGGTAGCCGTGGGTGAATAGTCCCGTAAGTAATGGGTTGGTCTGGGCGATTAGTATCGCGGCGGTATGGACAGTAGGGCGGGTCAAGGCATCGGCGATATTATTGGCACCCCGTTTGTAGGTGATGGTGTAGTGGAAGCTGGACTCGAGGAAATCGAGCCATCGGATCTGTCGTGGGTTGAGATTCGGTTGGGCGCGCAGGTACTGTAAGGATTTGTGGTCTGTCTGCACCGTGACATCAGCTCCGGTCAGGTAGCACCGCCATGTCTTGAACGCGTGGATGATCGCCATTATTTCCTTGTCGTGGACTGTATAGTTTTTTTCCGCGCCCTGCAGCTTCCGTGATTCGTAGGCGACTGGTTGTAACCTGTCGCCGAAGTCCTGGAGGAGAACTGCACCAATGGCGATGTCGCTGGCGTCGGTGATGACTTCGTATGGATGGTCGGGATCGGAGATGCGAAGTACAGGCGGCGACGTGAGGGCGATTTTGAGTTGGTCGAATGCAGCTTGCTGCTTCTCTCCCCACCAAAAACAGTCGTGATTCTTTAGTCGGTCAGTTAGAGGAGCAGATAACCCCGCCATATTGGGGATGAAGCAGCGGACGTAGTTGACGAAACCTAGAAAGCTTTGCAGTTCCTTGAGGTTGGTCGGCGGCTTCCAGTCCTGTATAGTCTTGATTTTCTTGGGGTCGATTTTCACTCCTTCGGTAGAGACGACGTGTCCCAAAAACTCCAACTCTTGCTTAAGAAAATCGCACTTAGACCCTTTTGTGATGAGGCGATTCTTGTGCAGCAGCGTGAAGACTGCATAAAGATCCTTTAAGTGCTGCTCCCTGCTGCGGCTGAAGATTAGGATGTCGTCGAGGTAGATAATTACGCATTTATCCAGGAGTTCGCGGAAAACACCGTTCATGGTCATCTGAAAAGTCGAGGGCACGTTCGTGAGCCCCAAAGGCATCACCAAGTATTCGTAACTGCCGTAGCGGGTTTGGAAGGCGGACTTCTGGCAATCCTCGGCGGCGACGCGAATTTGGTGGTAACCTCCTCGCAGATCGATTTTCGAGAAGAACTTGGCTTCGCGAAGTTGGTCGAGTAGGTCGTCGGCTCGCGGGATCGGGTAACGGGACTTGATGGTGATACGGTTGAGTGCGCGGTAGTCGATGCACATACGGAATCCGCCATCTTTTTTCGGTGTGAATAGTATGGGGGCGGCGTATGGGGATGTGCTTGGGCGGATAAAACCTTTCGTCGGGAGGTAATCCAACTGCTGCTGCAATTCCTCGAGTTCCGGTTGGCTGAGCCGAAATTGTCGCTGTACTATCGGTTGTGCGCCTGGTTCCATCTCGATGCGATGGTCTTCGAGTCGGCTTGGCGGAAGTCCAGCGGGTAGGTCGTCCGGGAAAATCTCGGGGTATTTTCGAATGAGTTCCGCTAAATTCGGAGGAACGGCTTCACACAGCTTCGTGATATCTTCCGCTGTTATCGGCGACGTCACTTCGCGAAGATCGACGGCGTATGCTGCTGCTCCCGCTTTTATCGTGCGCTTGAAAGTGATCGCGTGGACTTGGGTACTTCGCATGCGGGGTCCCGTCCATTTCGGTAACTCGTGATAGTGCCCATCGATCTTGATGCTGCAGCTGCCCGTCGTCCAGTCGATTCTCGGGTTGTACTGTCGCAGCCAGTCCCGTCCCAGCAGCACGTCACACCCGTCGAGTGTAGTCGCCAGCAGCCCCATCCGAAATTTTACGTGCTCGCCGCAGTGGAAACTGACGTGCTCCACCCGCTCCCGTATAGCCAGCGGTGTTCCATCCACCAGTCTTGCGTCAATTTCGGGTAGGCAATTTAATAAGGGGATACCCATTTTCTTAGCCCTGTCTAGCTGTATGAGACTGTGACTCGCGCCTCCATCCACGAATATTTTCAGCAACACCCCGTTGACTTTACCCTCCACCAACACAGGGTGATCAGCAGTTTCGTCCCCCTAATTCGTCCGGGTCCGATCGATTGCAGCAATCGGGATCACGACCCGGTGGGGACTGTGTGGTTCGGGCGAAAAAGCCTGCCCGTCAGTAAGGGGCCCGGTACTTACTGACGCGACCCATTTCCCGGTCGCTCCTCCGGCTTACCATATCAAATAAGCTTAGGATAGGAACTAAACTTAGGAACCTAGCTTACCTAGGAAGGAAGGAAGGACGCCATGGAATGGCGTGCGGAAAGTAGATCTAGGAGTAGGCTGGGAATATCAAGAAAGAAGAGAGGGGACTAGGAAGAGAGAGGCATACAAGGAGGGGTTTGTACCCTCTACAGTAAGGTTCAGTTACCTACCAAGCCTACAAATTATATAACACACTATATAATTTTGACAGAAGGTGGATATATAAAGAGCCTAACCCTCCTGATGACATCCCTTCTTGTCCCAGTGGTTAGGATTGGTGACTTAATGACTTTGCCAGCCCCTCAGATATCAGGATGTTTTATCATGAATTCCTGATTTTTAGGATGCTTGTTAGGGGTCAATCCTGAAAGTTCAGTTTAAGGTCATTTTCCACCCTGTGAATTCAGTTTTAAGTCATAGTGCAACCCTGAAGTTTCAATATAGTGTTCGTGTACCAGCCCTAAGGTGTCAGTATGCTTTCGGGGACAACCCTTATTCATCTAATCTTGCAAATGCACGTGCCCCACGGGCGCATGCTTTGTGTTTTTCCGCCCAAACAAATTTCGGCTAAGTCCTCGATGCTAGAGTCAATCCTCCAACCAGCCCCATGCCACTCTATTTCGGTTAAGTTCTTAATGCTAGAGACAATCCTCGAACGAAACCCCCCCCCCCCATTTTAAATTTTTGGTGAAGTCATCAATGCGTCTCTAGCAACAAAGCAGCCCCACGCTACTCTGTTTTGGCTAAGTCCTTTATGCTAGAGACAATCCTCGAACGAAACCCAACCCCCCCGCCCCCTCCCTCCCCCCCCCGCTACTCTAAATTTTCGCCCACATGCCTTCGACTTTCCTATAAAAATACAGACGTGGCATTTTTCAACTGAGGGCGTGTCTCAACGCCGACACAAGTCACGCTAATTCGTGTCAAGACTGCGTTGACAGGCAAATTTCACAAGCGAAATCCCTAATGACATGAAAAAGGCCTGACATCGGTTCACAAAGCAATATGCCCTGAACAATCAGACTGCCGGAAAAATTCCCGGCCAAATTTGCTGCGTGCGTCGATTTTCGCCAATTTTTGACAAATAGTGGCTAAGCTAGCGCAAAACATGAAATGCAATCCTGTTAGTATCCTGCTGCTGTGCAATGTTAGCACAATGTTTCCAACGTTTTTGAATTTACCCTGAGGGCAGAGTATAAACTGGGGAAGCACCCTGAGGATTCAGTATGAATATAGCCAACCAACCCTGAGTGCTACACAGTTTTTTGGGGGCCAGCCCTGATTGGTCAGGATGCCCAAAATCCTATCTGAGGCCCTGGACTTTGCGTTGCGTAGAATGTTATCTCAGAGTAGAAAAGTTGACTAGAATGAGGCATACATGTTGATCTCAAGTTGTACCCTCTAAGAGCATGCACCTATCTAGCCTATTATAACATATATAAATATATTTGATACACCCCCTAGCAGGGTTCTCTTTTGGAAAAAAAACATGTCTGAGGAATCAGACAAGGGTTGCGCATTTTGTCTGATGCACTTTTCACAATCAGAGAAGTAGGAAAAAGTTGTCTGATTTTTCACAGAATTCTAGAACGAATGTCTGAAAATTCAGAGAAACGTATTTGCATAGTCTGTTTGCATGAGATGATGAGACTTGCAGCACTTCTACTAATTAGCGGTTGCGGGTTACAAACGAGCAAAACCGCTAAGCGTCCAAACCAGCAACTCTGCTAGGATTTTCGACCGTCTGAAAATCAGAGTTGGTTTTGAACTTCCATCTGACCGTCATACGAAGACTTAGGGCGTGTCCAGCTAGTTCATTTTGCCCTAACACGTGCCTTTTACGTCTTCTGTACATGCTCGGAAAAATGTTACGAGCAATATAGATGTCGCGAGGTTCACCTTTTTTACCAAAGAGAGCATGTTTGCCTCGGCCTTGTATCCAGCCTTTGACACGACAAATGCTCTGCGCAGCGAAAACCAAAAGATCTTGGCGAAATGAATGGAGTTATTGTATTAGGAGGCCTCGCTGTTTTTGCCATGGCATTGACGAATCTGCCCGAATAAGACGAAGTCGTGTATTTACTTTTCGTCAACCATGATTTGTCGTTTTTGTCGGGAGTTCATTTCTGGCACGTTTCGAGAGCGTCCGCTAAGAACGCACACTTTTCGAACGGGTCCTAAGGGCAATGAGACTCACGTGACATGTCACGTGCAGACAGCCCTCTCTTTTGGCCCTGCCGTTTCAGGGTTTGCCCCAGCCCCCAAGTGGTATGGGGAGGAATGTCTCTGATGTGGGGGGGGGTGGACTTAGCCGATTTTTTTGGGGTGCGAGGGGTGTGGGTGTGGGTGGGGAGGAATGTCTCTGGTTTGGGAACTTAGCCAATTTTTTTGGGGTGCGAGGGGTGTGGGTGTGGGTGGGGAGGAATGTGTCTGGTGTGGGGAACTTAGCCGAATTTTTTGTATGCATGGGGTGTGTGGGGAGGAACGTCTCTGGTGTGGGGGACTTAGCCGAAATCTTTGGGGTGTGAGGGGTGTGTGTGGAGCCGGTACACATGTATGTCTCTGTTTCAGAGAAACTCGATTCACTTGTCTAAAAATCAGAGAAACCAGTACACCTAGTCCGAGAAATTCAGAGAAATCTTAAAAGCTTGTCTAGGCCAATCAGAGTTTTTTCAAACCATTGTTTGAAAAATCGGAGAAACCCCTAAAAACCAGTCTGAAAATCAGACAATCAGACAAAAAAAGTCTGCTATTTAGGACCCTGCCCCCTAGGCCAGATGAGGGGCAGTGCCTAGAAATTGACATACAGCTCAGGGTGGCACTACTATTCCAGCCTCTAAGGCAAGGGTCCGAAGATGAGTCTGCACGAGTACAAGCTAAACAAGAGCAACCCAGGGCGGTACTACTAGTCCAGCCACTGGGACAGGAGCCACAAGGCTAGTCAAGAGAATATAAAAGGAGTACACAATAAGGGTCCTAACAAGTGAGAAGCTACCAGAACTAGACCAACTTGTACACACTGTCGCTGATGATCTTTAGGCGCAAGCACCTTCGTAACGATATCAGCTGGGTTGGCACGGGAGGCCAAGTGTACTACGTGGGCCTGGCGGCGCTGCTGCAGCTCGCGCAGGAGGAAGTACCGCAGCTGGACGTACTTCGCTCTGCCCTCAAGTCGAGGCTCCTGACACAGGAGGATCATGGCCCTGTTGTCAGCGTACAGGACCGGGGCAGAGCTAGGCCGCTCACCTAAGTCAGTGAGCAAGAAGGTCCGCCAACAGAGCTCCTGGGCTGCCATGGCACCGGCGTAGATCTCAGCCTCACAACTAGACAGGGCAACAGACGACGAGCAGGTGGACCTCCAAGAGATGGCATCTGAACCAAGGCTAAAGCAGTAGCCCTGGCAGGACCTGAGCGTCTTAGCGTCGTCTGCCCAAAAAGC